TCACTACTTCAACCATTTAAAATACCTTCCTGTTAAAAATGATATTTTTAATAATCTTTAATCACCTATGCAATAAACATATAAAGAAAAATCCATAACAGCATCACGTTTTTAAGTAACAAATGGTTAGTTTAGAATAGTCCTGTCTGTGGGACTATGAGTCAATAGTATACTAACAAAATTAAATCCATTATATTTTGTGGTCCGATTGACCAAATAACTTCTTTCAATTAATTAATGTAATGTTGGCTGAAATGAAAAACTTAGTGTCACCAGGGGGATTCGAACCAACGACCTTCGGCTAAATACGCCGCCGCTCTACCACTTCGTGACGTCGATCTACTCGGACACCAACTTCCACCTCAACCCACCTTTCGAATTTTCTCTCCTTTTTGCCATTTTTCAATCACCTCATTCATTTTCATTAATTGAAAGAAGTTATTTGGTCATCGGATCACGAAATATAATGGTTTTAATAAGTAAAACGAAGTATATCTTCACTAAAGTTCTCCGTGGCCATTTCATTTGCGCCGAGAATCGAATCCTGATTACACGTTTCAAAAATGGCAAAAAGGAGGGAAAATTCGAAAGGTAGGTTGAAATGGGAAGGTGGTGTTCGTGTGGATCGAAGTGACGATAGCTCAAGTGGTAGAGCAGCGGCGTATTTGGCCGAAGGTCGTGGGTTCGAATCCCGCTCGTGACGCTAACTTTTTCATTTCAAGCAATACCTTACATAAAAATTAATTAATCGAAAGAGTACAGTTCAGAACCTGCTTCATTTAGATTTTTGCATGTTTTTTCTGTTATTTAAAAATTGTTGCAACAGTTTGATTTTTAATATGGGAAAGCCAGGTTCATCACCACTTGAAATTAAACTAGGTACGTAGTAAATAAAGTAACGCAATTTTAACAATGGATATATGCTGGAGTATTAAATTTCAATTACAATATTTCAACATAGATTCGAAAATTTATATTCCCTCTTTAATAAAAAAAAAGAGATAAAATAAAACATTTTTTTTATTAATCGTGAAAGATAAAAGTCCAATTTTACAGCTGTATAACAGGAACTGTTTATTACCCAAACGGGACAGACTAGAATTTTTATGAAAAAGATTATTTGTAGATGAATTATCATAATTTATTTTATATTATGTAAAATTGATTTACTATATCGATTTTGACTACTCTATAGATAAAAAACGAAAACATAAAGTATTAAACTTTAACTTCCCGCAAATTTTTATTAAGAAACACTATAATTATATATTATATGTATATTTACCCTATCAAATTAAATATTTATCGACTATATTCTGTGAAAAATTAGGTTACGTAACAATCGACATAATGCAGTGATCGCAATCCCTTTATGATCCTTTCTTTCTATTGCACGAGTATAAAATCTCCATAATTATACAACTTTCCAACGTGTCATTTGTGTTATCCTCACATGACAAAATTAACATAAATCTATGTGAATTATTTAAAACATAAAAATACGTGTTGCATTACATTTTCGCGCAACCCTGATAACTAATAATAAACTACTTTTTTCGCACGATTGAAAACTTATTATCAAACGTCCATAAGGATTTATTGATGGGAATTCTCCTCGTGGGACTTTTTCAGGACCAGGGAAATAACAGTGTGATATCACAATCCGAACTTTTTTTAAGACTTCCACTTATTGTTGAGAGATGCATTACACGGTAGGCGGATCGCACTCAACGGAAAGATCACAATCTCGTTTTCAATCGTTGTCGATTATCGCGATGGATTGAGATCGGATCGATGATCCACAATACGAGGTCGTGACACCGAATCTCAGGCACAACATGGCAATTATTCACTATTTAGTCTTCTATTCTTTCTCGAACAGCATTGAAGCGAAAGAAAGGAGGTCAACCTTCAATCTGACTTAAGATGCTTTATTACAAAATTAATTAATTTACCTGATTTATGTGTACTTCTGGTAGAATAATCGAAAGCAGTCATTTCTTAGAAAGAAGTAGTACTATAACATTTAAAAAAATAATTATGTGTAATGTTGGCTAAGAAATACAAAAATTTTTCGATTATAAAACAATGTCATAACCAAAAATGATGGAAAATCGTTTTACACTTCACTGCATATTATAAAATGTAACAATATAAAATAACAACAGAAAATCTAAATATTAAATTACAGTTATTGCCAAAAATGTATTTTTAGCCAACAAATGGTAAATAAAGCGTGTGATATTCTCTTTTCATAATTTACTTTAATTAATAAACAAATAGGGAAAATCATTTATTAAAAGTTTCAATGTAAAGTAATACGAAAAATGATCAGAAATATATTACAGTATTGTTATATAAAATATTTATGTCGTAAATCCTCAAAAACATAATAGCAGATTCACTAGTTTTAGTGATCCGCTTGACCAATTAATATCTTTCAATTAATTAAGGTTTTTAGTTGAGATAAAAAAGTCAATGGCACGAGCGGGATTCGAACTTGAACCAAACTTCGAAACCACTTGAGATATCGTGACCTCGATCCTCTCGGACACTAATTTCCCATCTCAACCCCACTTTTTGAATTTTCCCTCCTTTTTGCCATTTTGCAAATGTCGTGTAATCTATTTGATTCTCGTATCGTAATTAATTAATTCAATTATCATTTTTATCTCAAGCGGACCACTAAAACTATTGAATTTAATAAGTAAAAATGAAGAATACTTTCACTAAAGCTTTCCGTGGCCATTTCATTTGTCGCCGAGAATCAAATAAATTAGGCGACATTTGAAAAATGGTAAAAAGGAGGAAAAATTCAAAAGGTTGGGTTGAGATGGGAAGTGTCCGAGTGGATCGAAGTCACGATATCTCAAATGGCAGCGGCGTAAATATCCGAGGGTCGTGGGTTCGAATCCAGCTCGTGACGCTGACTTTTTTATCTCAACTAAAAACCTTAATTAATAACAGCAAATATTTTACAAAAAAATTATTAGAAAGGATATCGAGTACATCGCAATTGAAGCAAAGATTTTCCTTTCTTTATAATCTGTAAATAGAATCGTAAAATCTGAGAAATCTTACATTAATTATTCTTTATAACCTACTGGTGAAAAATGAGAAGCAACAAAACCCCTAAAAATTTTTGCATTTAAAATCTTGAAGCTTCGACTGTTACTGTGTTTAAAGTCTCTTTTCGATATATAAGGTTTTACTCTATGACAAGTACATATTTTTTTTAAATCAACAGATAAAGGAAGGATTATATTTTCGGTGACATTTCCGATACATTCCGTGGACATATTTGATCTTCAACTTAATTAAGAAAAATTTTATTTAAAAAAGTTGATATATTTAACCTCGTTTGCTGAACATTCAATTCATAATTGCATTATGCTTGAAACAATTTGTTCAATGTTGCAGAAAGGTTGCTAACATTTTAAATTGTTGATAATAATTTTGATGTCATGATGATAATTTCATGAAGACATGACGATGAAGAGGAATTTCTCTGACTCCTAGAAAGTCCTTTAACGAATTTATTGTTTTTTTCAAATTGGAAATAGTCTGATGAAATTAAAAAAATCAAAACACCCACACAATGAACGTATAGCAATCTGACAGAAATAAAATTAAATGGTGTAGGCTGTTTTTAATTAAGCCATGTTTGAAGGTGAATCTTTTTACTTTTGTATTAATATGGAACTAACATTGCCGGAAGGTCGCAAAAAATAAAAAGATGTACCTTAATTAAATCAATACTTTGAACTTAAATAAATTAATAATATATCTGCACCATAATGGTTAAATGGCTGGAAAATAAATAAAAAATCAATCACTGTTGCTGAAAAAATGATGTTTATGGTAATAATTGTTTAGTTTTATAATATTTTAAAATTAATTTTTCTTTCAATATTTCGTATCTATGGTATAAAATATTCCTAAAAAAGTATTGTTTATATTAGTAATTTCCAGAGGCGCCGTTAGCCACAACGGTTAACCCGATGCTCATCACTGCATCATCAAGGTAAGATCCAGCAGCCATCCAAACACACAAATTTTGTCCAAAAACACCGTCATCCGGGTTACATACTCACGCTTCTTGTCCCATAAACATAGTATTATGGCATGACAACTTGTCCCAGAAACGCGTTACGGGATGGCAAATTATCTCATACGATGACTACTATTCCCATAAACAATATATATATATATATAGATTGATATATATATATATACAGAGAGAGATAGAGAGAGAGAGAGAGAGAGAGAGAGAGAGAGAGAGAGAGAGAGAGAGAGAGAGAGAGAGAGAGAGAGTTTTGATGGTGAAATTACATAAAAGTGTGTGTGTGTAGTTTTGTAAATTATGGTTAATTTTGACATTTCGTTAGTTTGCAAGTTGGTGGGCGATTATAGCCAACTTGGTTTTACTAGTTCGTCCTTCGTCATTTATTATTCTAAGTATAGGCTCCACTCTTAACTTACAAATACAGCAACACCAGGCTGACTATCGGAGAAAAAAAATATTTCAAGATATTTCAAACTTTTATTACCTACCTCCGAATTCGAGATAATTGTGACTTTTCAATAATGAAAGTTAATTAAGTAGCTATTGTGAAACTTTGTCCGATAGTTCTAAACATCGTTGACTTTTACATCCATAATTAATCCATAAACTTATTAGCGTTTGTACATGCATGTATATGACATTGGAGGATAAAATCGTGAGAAGTTGTAGGTGGTGTTCCAGGAATAAACTCCTACACGTTTGAACTTTGCGCTTGAGAATGAACGAATGTCAATAAACAAATTATATTATTTAAACTTGCCCTTGTAAAAACGTCTTAAACATAAAGAACCGACAATGAGAGCTGCCGGACTTCTCTTCCCTAATTACGACCGGATTCGAAAAGGTGCAGGACACCTTTCTCTGCCCTTGAGGACATCTTTCCAATGTTCTGTTTACACCATGCGAGAGGTTTGACAATTAAATGATGCAACTGAATATTACGTGAATGATGCCGGCGGCTCTGGATGGGAAGATGAGGGTGGAGGGGGCCAACGCCTTCCTCCACCTCCTGGGACGAGATTTCAAGTCTTCGTCCTATATAAGTCCGACTTACCTTTCATACTCCAGTTCTATCGGAACAATGTTTAAGGTAGGTTTAGAAATGGTTCCAATGCTTGTGGCCATTGCTTCGCACGATTTTCGGTATAAGGATTGTTTTTCTTTTAAAAAAATTACAAATCGCTTAATATTATTGTTATAAAGTTTTACATTAGGCTGACAAAACGAACGTGAGTTGTTTACAGCATGTCTTCTAAAAATTCTGCATGACAATTTGCAAGAGTGCACTGCAAGGGGTTAGGAAATCCATGTTCAAGGAAGAGGTTATAAGTGAAAGTTCATCGTTTTAATGCATATTTCGTGTTAATACATGCGCATTATAAAACTGAAATAGTCTCCACATCATGGAACATAACGCAATTAGTAATTGAATTAAAAGCAGAAATAATTTTTAACATTAAATTTTACTTGATTAAAAAATGCATGTTTTTTGTTTTTAAGGGTACTGATATTTAAAAAAAAACTAGTTTTTAGCCTGAAAGATATTTTTCACTTTCTCTAATCATGGTTTATTGTAAATGTAGAAGTTGTTAAAATTTTGAATAAATTATAATTTCAATCATGCCCAATATATAACTAATTGAAATTGCATGACTTAGGCAGCAGCTTTCACAACTGGATTAACAATTTATTTCAACCTTCCGCAAGAACTGGGTTAACATTTATGAAACATAAAAAAAAAACAAGAACGCGGAAGGGTGGATAACGATTGAATAATCGTTCTTTTTTGGGATGGCTTTTAACTCCTTTTTAGTCGGTAACGGTTTGCTTTTTGCTTTTTATGCTTGTTTATGATTTAGGCTTATCCACAGGCCCTGGTTGTCGCTAGCTGTCTGGCATCCGTGCTAGCGTTTCCGCAGCACCAGAACCAAAACTTCCAACAACTACAACGGCAACAGCAGCCGCCCCAGCAGCAACAGCAGCAGCAGCAGCAGCAGCAACAGAACCTAAGAGCGGCCACGCCTCCAGTTCCAATCGTCTCATTGGACAACAGTGTTAACCATGATGGATCCTACACATACAGGTGATTATGATTAATTAATTATTTACTTAAAAAACAATGAAATGTAACTTATTTATAACACATAGTAAAATTATTCATTGATCAATGGGAACGCACTATTTAATTAAATATCGTGCTCATACAATATTATTATAACTTTTGTTCTAATATGTAAGTGCTAATGAATAATGATATTATTTTAACTAGGAAAATAATTAAAAATAAAATATAAAAACCATCATTTTCAATCTCTGGATCTTTTTGATAGTTTAGAATATAAAATATTATTTTTCAATTAATTAATCTTTTTATAAGGTATTGGTTGAGATAAAAAAGTCATTGTCACGAGCTAGATTCGAACCCTCGACCCTTAGGGTACCGCGGTAGCCGAGTGGTTAGCATGAGAGACTCTCACGCCGCGGTGGTGGGTTCGATTCCCACCGTCGCCTCTGGCCCTTTTTTCCCGATAACCCCCAATTTGAACAACATATATAAGAGATTCGTCATGGCTAATATGCAAGGATCATAAGGCCAATTAAAAAAAAAAAAAAACCTCGACCCTCGACTTCATAAAATATAACTTCACGAAAGCCCTCCGTGGCCAATTCATTTGTCGCCGAGAATCAAATAGATTACACGACATTTGAAAAATGGCAAAAAAAGGAGGGAAAATTAGAAAGGTGGGGTTGAGATGGGAAGTGTCCGAGTGGATCGAAGTCACGATAGCTCAAGTGGCAGCGGCGTAAATATCCGAGGGTCGTGGGTTCGAATCCAGCTCGTGACGCTTACTTTTTTTAGCTCGACCAATACCTTATATAAAGATTAATTAATTGAAAAAAGTTATTCGGTCAATCGGACCACGAACTCTAATCAATTTAATAAAATATTACGAATAAATAAAAGGAAAACAATCCAATTTTTCCAAATCAAATATTAATCTTAGGAAGGCAGTCGTAAAATTCAATATAAAAATTTCCAATAATATTTTATTAATATTTGTTCGAATTTAAAAAAAAAAATTGGTTAATATAGTTATGCATATGTATGCACTCTACCTTAAAAGAAACCATAGAATGAAAGTCCATCCATTGAAAGTTCATAGAAAAATCCCTGAAACGAATCCAAAACTTCCGAAAAATCTGTCCATTAAACTGTTGACCTTGTGGACTCCTATCTTAATCCACCGAATTAAATAAAAGAGAGTTCCAGCACCGGTTGGTTGCTCTTCATACTGTCTCTTGGTCTGACAGATCAGTAATATTTGTACATAACTATACTATTTGCTCAATGTATATTTTGAACAGCTAGCAATAAATAAAATAAATAGTCTAAAAAAACTAAACTATTAAATTTTTTTAAATATTTAATAGATGTCAAGGTGTTTTGTTTTTTATTTTCAGTCAACATACATTCGTGTACGTTCTTCGGTATATTATTGTATACTGCTCAAATTGGGTTCTACATTTATTTCTATCGGTTTAAAATATTTATATATGATTCATTTCTACTCGTTTAGGGAGTCGCTCCGACCGAGTGGTCTTTTTTTTTTTTTTTTTTTTTTTTTTTAATAATGTGAACAAGTATTGTATTGAGGTTTGACCCCTCGTCCATGACATCCAATGGGATGTTGGACGTTAAGCCCTACTGTACCTACAGGAATTATTTTACTTTTACTCTTTCAAAGGTGTTTCAATAAATTATATTTACAAATACATATAAACATTTACGAGGTAAATGGTGTATTATTAACAATTACAAATTAAGTTAAAAAGACGTGTCACGCGTGGGACTCAAGCCGATGACCGAGTGGGTTCGAGTCCCACCCGTGACGCATCCTTTTTTACTCTAACTGAATTTCTAATTGTTTATCATACATCATTTACCTAGAAAGGTGTATTATATATTATATATATAATAAGGTATATATATATATATATTATTTAGAATTGTAAATAAATCGAACATTTCGACAAATTTTCATATGTTGTTTTGGATGGAACATGAGATTATGTACGAAAATTTGTTCCTTTATCACATTTGGTTGATTAAATCATCATTTTAAAATAACAGTGTGGAAATTTTCCATTATGGGCCTTAGTTTGCACAAGAAGAGGTGCAAATAAAACAAAATTATTTGACGAAAGGAATAAACATTGACAGGAATAAAAAATATTAGTTCTGTAAATACATAAGGTTAAATTAATAAACAATAAATTCACTAATTTCGTGGTCCGCTTGACCAATTAATATATTACAATTAATTAAGGTTTTTTGGTTGAGATAAAAAAGTCAATGGCACAAGCGGGATTCGAACCCACGATCTTCGGCTAGATACGCCAATGCTCTTCCACTTGAGCTATAGTGACCTCGATCCACTCGGACACTAACTTCCCATCTCAACCCCACCATTTGAATTTTCCCTCCTTTTTGCCATTTTTCGGCGTATCTAGCCGAAGATCGTGGGTTCGAATCCCGCTCGTGCCATTGACTTTTTTATCTCAACCAAAAAACCTTAATTAATTTTAATAAACAATATTGATTTGAGCGAATTAAAACTCTATGAACAGTTCTTAAATTAGAACTTTTCCCTGATATAGTTAAACCATTTTTTAAAGTTTAGCTAAATGAAAAAATGCTGAAGGAAATAAGCTCTGCATACCATAGACTAACATTTCTCATTAGAATATTTTTATTTAAAATAATTAGATCACTTTTACATCTGAATATATTTACTAATGTTAATGTTGTTTGTGTATGTTTATTTTATAACATATCAAAATAAATAGGATAAATTCGTATTATGCATACCAATTAGTAAAATAAAATGAATAAATAAAATTAAAAACCATATAAAACTACTAAATATACAGGTGATTTTATATATACGAGCATATTTATATACAATATAATAAACAGCATAAAAATATATAATTTATATTTCATACAACTTTATACAACATGAATGTGCAACTTCGTACAAGTTCTCGTCCAAGGAAATATGAATTTTGTTTTCATTTTATCTGAAAATCTTGTGATATCACTAAGTTCCTTGTTGTATATGGTTTTATTTAGACATACTTTTTTTTAAATCAAACGTGGAGAAAACAGTTGGTATAAGCGTAACGTAATTAACAGTAAAAATCTTTCTAAGTTAAAAGCCCATGTTGAACTGGCATTGGGTACGTCGATAGTCGTGCGTTCAAGTACATAACATAACTCCGAGACTACCGAACAGACATCCACTGTTGACCGTCGACCAGTGTCAACTAAATATTACCTGCATTAACGAAAGTTGCCGGCGATATAACGGATAATTACGGATGTTGTTGGCCAGCGAGTCAGTGAATTCACGTGGTAGTTCCTTGCTGAAGATGATGTGAAACCGTTTGGGCGGAATTGGAACATGCGGAATCAGACCGGCACAGATTTCTATCAAGTGTCCATAAGTTTTACAAGTATGAACATGAAAAACACCTAGCAGTTTGATCTAAAGTTGTAAAGCTTGTTTGTATCCGATTTAAAGATTCCATGTATTAGGGAGGGGTAGATATAGTGGGAGAAAGAGTTGGAAGAGAGAGAGAGAGAAAGAGAAACAAGTAAGTTTCTGCTGACGAGTATAAAAGAATCTTACAAAACTCAACGTATAAGATCAACTAATCTCACCTACTTTTGTGTGTACAAGTTTAAAAAGTTTTAACTTTTCAGTTTCGAGGGTGGAGACGGTACCAGAGCTGAACAGAGCGGTCAGCTGAAGACTATCGGCCAGGAAGCCGGTGAGGTCTCTCGAGGATCCTACTCCTATGTGGGAGACGACGGCAAAACTTACTCGGTTTCGTACACCGCGGACGAAACGGGATACCATCCAGTCGGTGACCACCTCCCGCAGCCACCACCGATCCCAGAGGCGATCCTGAGGAGCCTGGAGTATCTGGCGACCGCACCACCGCCCAAGGAGGAAAACAACTAGTCTTTCTGTGACTTGACGACGTATCTCTGTTCTTTATTTATTTTTTTTATCTACATTGAAACTCGGCTTAGTAAGGTGGATTTTATGAAACGTTTTCAAAATTATTTTGCACCAATCACCGGTGGGTACCAGAAAACATGAAACTTGTGATAAATTAATTTTAGTTGGTTTAATAATGCAATGGCTGCGGTGAAACTGTATTACTGTCCTCGATTAAAAAAAAATTATATATATTATATAGTAAAAGAAACGTCCAGCTCTACTAATGTTAATTGCAGACTCAACAATAAAAAGGCAAAGAAAAAAAAACTTTCTTGGATATCATGATAATTTGAGCCTGCACCTTAATTTAAGATTTATATCAAACGAAAAATAAAACCCGTAATAAACTATGCGCTAATTTTTAATATGATACTTCCTTTTCCTTGCAATTATTATATTTCTTCATGTTGAGCTTGATTTAACATATTCAAATCTTCATTTCATCAGCACTTTGTCCACACAACTGATTTTATATTACATAAAAATCGTTTATGAAAAGTGTGGTGATTAGTGACCGTTCGTCGATGATTATTCGGAAATCGTGAGATGCGGTCTGGTGTGATGTACGTTTCGATATTTATTGAGATCATCTTCGGGGCCTGGGATTTACAAACATTGTTTAAATTTAACAAATACATTTAGGATGTGGAAAAGTGAATTTATACAAGCCAAAATATATTTTTTATATTCAATCAAAGCAAAATCTCACTGGCACTCTCAACACGACACGCAAGAATGGCACAATTACACAGAAGACAAACACTTTGAGTGAGTAGAAATACTTTGATCGAATATAAAAAATATATTTTGCATTGTATAAATTCACTTTTCCACATCGTAAATGTATTTGTTAAATGTAAACAATGTTTGTAAATCCCAGGCCCTGAAGATGATCTCAATAAAGATCGAAACGCTGGCACGATAAAAACAATGTTTTCTGAAACCTACATCACACCAGACCGCATCTCACGATATCTGAATAATTATAACACAATTTAAACACTTTTTTCCAAAATTAAAGATCCCACATCAATAACAGATAAATCTGATGTAATCTACAAAATCAATTGTTTAAACTGTCCGGCAACATACATCGGTCTTACATCCCAATATCTGGATAAGAGAGTAATGCAACATATCTATGATTGCAAAAAAACCAATCAAAATCCTACAGCACTCGCTAGCCAACATTTTGAACACAAACACAATTTCGACTGCAACAATCCAAAAACATTACACACAGAAGAAAACAAACATAAACCTAACTTTTTAGAATTGGTTTACATCAACAGAGATAAAGCATCAATTACAGAAAAGACACATGTAAACTCGGTCACAGCTACGCCAACATCATTAATCAAATTCAATATAGAACACACATATATGATCACATCACACAAAACACATAACATACAAAACCTTCATCACATGCTACACATTAAACATTTTTACATAGACTAATTTTTGAAAAATTTAGCTCTCCTTTCCCTAATTATCCCCGTATATCCTGAAAGGATAATCAGACCGAACCATTACCCATTCTTTTTCATTGTCAGATCCTTTCAACAGTAAGAAGCGGACTCCTCAAATAATTTTATAAAAAGAGTACAAAAATTTTTCTATTCCTACTTCCTTCTCCAACCCTTCAAAATCAAACATGTATAAACATAAAACATCAATATCTTACTGGCAGTCTCAACACGACAGACAAGTCAGAGCGGGATTCGAACCCACGACCTTCGGCATGATACGCCGCTACTCTACCACTTGAGCTATCGTAACTTCGATCCACTCGGAGACCAACTTCCCATCGCTCAAGTGGTAGAGGAGCGGCGTATCTAGCCGAAGATCGTGGGTTCGAATTCAGCTCGTGACACTGACTTTTTTATCTCAACGAAAAACCTTAATTAATTGAAAGTTATTAATTGCTCAAGCAGACCACGAAAACTAGTGAATTTTTTTTTATAATTATTCAGAAATCGTGAGATAGGGTCTGGTGTGATGTAGGTTCCAGAAAAACATTTTCTTTATCGTGCCAACGTTTCGATCTTTATTGAGATCATCTTCAGGACCTGGGATTTACAAACATTGTTTACACTTAACAAATACATTTAGGATGTGGAAAAGTAAATTTATACAATGCAAAATATATTTTTTATATTCAATCAAAGTATTTCTACTCACTCAAAGTGTTTGTCTTCTGTGTAATTGTGCCATTCTTGCGTGTCGTGTTGGGAGAGCCAGTGAGATGTTTATATACATTGGATTTTAAAGGGGTGGGGAAGGAAGTCGGTATAGAAAAATTTTTTGTATAAGGCGTCGGCTTCTTTGAGGTGAAAAGTGCCGACGAAGGGAAACAATGTGTTGGTAATAAATTTAAACAATGTTTGTAAATCCCAAAGACCCTGAAGATGATCTCAATAAAGATGGAAACGTTTATGAAAAGTATTCTTCGATTCCAAACTGCTAAATGTATCTTTTCTCGATTATTAAAACGTTTGAAATGTTAATAATTAAATGAAATTGGTCTCATTCTGTATAATTATCCGTATAATTCTGTGATAAAGCCATTAACTACTCTTAACATATAATTCTGGATTTTCAATTTGTAGGTTTTTAGAAATTGTCTTTTGCTCCACAAAACTTTCACATCTTTAGGGTTAGATAAAAATTACGCTTTTTTCCTTGTAGAAACATTTCAGATATAATCAGCTGTTATGTCAGAATAATAAATGGAAAAATTGTAAAAATAAAAGAATTTACTAGCCATATTACAAACCACTATGCTTGTTTACAATCGATTAAATTATCATTAATAAAGCAATAAAAATAAACAAGGTAAAAGGTGTAAAAATGCTCTAGTTTAAACAGCTTTTTTATAATTGACTTTCAAACTCGCAAAACCTTCACTTAGAACGTGTAACGCAATTTCCTCTTCATCCTGGGCAAATCTGCACTGTTATGAACTGCCACGCCTGTTTCCTTTAGACATGTTTCGATGAGTAATATAATATTGAGGCATAACTGATTCGAGAAATATGTATTTTTATACCCGTCTTTTAGAACCCCATATGGTCGGAATCATTCCTGAAATAGATAAAATCGTAGCTGAATTACATTTCATCACTTATTAACCACCAATTATTAATGTGAACAGAAGTATTACTTCTTAACATGTAATATTGTTTGATTAAAGATTGCGACACTTAATACATAAATTAGCTGTCTAATTATTTAATTTGTTAAGTTTAACGTAACAAAAATATTTTTGAAATCTCACAAAAATAAAATTTAATCCCTTCAAACACATGACGTTTTACTTTTTATTTAATTTTCCACGTTGTTTTTTTATAAATTTTTTGTTTGATTTTTACATTAAATTTTTGGAACTTTCGGTTTACTCCCATCATGCATTTGTTGTAAAATCTCCATTTCCATTTTTTGATTCTTGATTATCCTGGGTCATATCGTTTCTTCCACGTTATTTCCTTGTAATTAAGGTTTTTATAATTTTTATTATGTGCGTGAATTTTTTAAGACCTTTTGAACTTTTTTATTTATAATTTGTGGTTTTTAAAAATATCCCGTTTTTTTTGTTTTTTTTTATACAAATGCACAAATTGCAAATAAAACATGTATATACATTAAATTTTTCTTATAATAAAAATGATGATATAAAAACGTTAGAGACCTGGAAAACTATATAATCCAGGATAATCGAGAATCAATAAATTGAAAAGCATGCTTACAACAGATGCTGATGATGGATGTAAAATCCTGAAACGCCAAAAAATTTAATGAAAAAATAAAACAAATTTATTTTTAAAAACACATAGACATTTTTTAACTACAAATTATAAACAAAGAAGGCAATAGTCTTTAAAAAAATCTTTGTTACATAATAAAAATGGTAACGTTTTACATTCAATTCATTATTTGGTGAGAAATCATCAATTGAAATCGTTATGTTATATCAAATTTATGAGACCTTGTCACATCATTACGTTTTGAAGCACTGTAAGGCGAATCATACAAACGTAAATTAGTTTTAAATTTCGTTAAACGATCAGCTGTTGTCTATCGAAATTCGTTGACACCTAGTATAAAACGGCTTGCAAAAATTTGTTTTTTCCCTTTAAGTTTATGGCTTTAGGACATTGGAATTAGTATAAGGGCGAATTTTGCTTTTAAACATTGGATGTTCTGATTTTTTCTGTTTATTGCAATTCATGAATGGGCGAAGAACAACAAGAAACGGATCGTGAAGTTTAAACGAATTCAATCATACAAATGAGTGACCCAAAGTTTTTGGGAGAAAGCGACCTGGTCCACAAATTGCTAACAGGGAGCCGAGNAAAACGTTTATTCTTTATTGGTAATGACATCCAATCGAGAATTTATTGTTGAGGTGATTGAATTGTATGAACGTTTACCATGTTTATGAAAGTGGTGGACAATGATTATATTACCACGATAGAAATAAAAGAAATTCGATCCTCAACCAGTTGATATTGTATTGATTACCCCTAACAATGATCAGAAATCGTAGTAGAGAACTGAAGTTCTTTGTAGTTCATCCCTGTAGCGAGAAATCGTAATGTGGTTGACAACCTTTCATGTAGTGATGATTTCTCTCACGAGTGTCTTTTGTTTTCTAATAAAGGGGGTAACAAGCTGGAGTAAATATAAATAAGACGTTAATCTTTTTTTTGTAAGGTTTTGGTTGAAATGAAAAAATAGTGTCACGAGGGGATTCGAATCCACGACGTTCGGATAAATACGCCGCTGCGCTAACCACTTGAGCTATCCTGACTTCGACAGTTCGATCCACTCAGGCACCAACTCCCCATATCAACCTACAACCTTTCGAACTTTCTCTCTTTTTGCCATTTTTTGGTGTCGGAGAGGATCGAAGCCACGATAGCTCAAGTGGTAGAGCAGCGGCGTATTTATTCGAAGGACATGGGTTCAGATCCCGCTCGTGGCACTAGCTTTTTCATTTCAACCAAAAACCTTACAAAAAAGATTAAATAATTGAAAGAAGTAATTTGGTTAATAGAACACTAAATAAGACGTTTCATCCATCCTTAAATAGTTCCTCCAGTCAGCGGGTTCAAGGGAAAGATCTTTCATCAAATTGATATGGGTATTACGGCTTCTGTCCCTTCTTACACCATTTCCTTTTCGATTTTTTGCTTTTAATATGTAAATAAACAGAAGAGTAGCACAAGAGATCGTCATCTACTTTGAGAAGGTAATTCACTGGTTGATGTTCGGAGCGACTGGCTGTGGAGCCCCTCAAATTTCAGGCACTCCAAATGGAGCTGTACGGCTTGGCGCGGTTCCATTTGGAGTGATCGTGAATTGCCACCTTTACATAACTAACGCGGTTTCTTGGCACAGATTGTCTGTACTAATTGAAAAGCCGCTGAAACTAATATTATTTTAAAATAATTACTAAACAGCGCCTTTTGTACAGTCTGTATTTGTAAGAGAATAATTTAAAGTGATAGAAACATTACTGAGACGGACCAAATATATGTTTGACCAGTGTATTGAATTAATATTTTTGTTTTTTTGTGTTTGTTGGGTTTTTTTTTGTGTTTTGTTTTTATGTAAGTTTATGTAGGTTAAGTGATTGAAAATGAGAAGAGATCCCGATTCGGTCAGCAGTGCATCATGTACGCGTTCATCTTTCTGACTCCTGTGATCGGGGGGCAGTTTCCAGGCGGGCATTCTGGGAGCGGCCTTGTGAGACATTCCGGCCTGGCGCAGTCCCACCTATGACAGTCGTCTTGCAGTCCGTTCTTCTTCCAGCAATCGCAGCCGTTCATGACGACCCCTCCTCTTATTTCTACGCTCTTACTTCTGGGCTTGTACCATGGAGGGATGCCCTGGAAATTTAAAATATAAAGATTATTGAAAATTTGGCTAAAGGCTGGTTTAACAAATACAAATTTTTCTTTAAGCCACATGGTGATGTAAGCCAAAAATGATTTTTTCGTAATTTCAAGAAGAAAAAAAAATAGGCTCATAAGTAAACCAAAAGGGAAATTATGTATAAAGAATTGCCATAATAATTAAAATAATATGTTACAAAGGTTTACACTGTTCCTGAAAACCAATTATTTATACCAATTTATTATCAATTAAAATTCCACGTGCTGTGATTCAAAACCAGAACTATTACGGTGGCAAACACGTGTCGGACCACCTGGCCAAACAATTACAAAAATTTCAAAAGTATAAAACATGTACATGGGAAAAATGTTTTGTAAAGAATTACAGGACAGTTACAGTGGCTAATGAAACAAAGCAAATAGAAGGAAAACTATGGAAGTATAAAAAAATGAATTATTTTTAATAAATGTAGCAAGGGAAGAAATATATAACTTTACTTATGTGCTATTTATGTTATTTTCTTCCCAAATTGTTTATATATTGCAATTAAGGATTTTAGTTGAGATAAAAACGTCAGTGTCACGATCGGGATTCGAACTCACGACCTTCGGCTAAATACACCGCTGCTCTACCACTTGAGCTATCGTGACCTCGATCCACTCGGCCACTAACTTCCCTTCTCATCCCCACCTTCGAAGTTTCCCACCTTTTTGCCATTTTTCAAATGTAATCTATTTGATTCTTGACGACAATTAAAATGACCACGGAGAACTTTAGTGCTTTAATTGGTCAAGCGGACCACGAAAATTAGTGAATTTAATATCTTAAAATGAAGTATGTCTTCACTAAAGCTCTCTGTGGCCATTTCAATTGTCGCCAAGAATCAAATAGATTACACGACATTTGAAAAATGGCAAATAGGAGGGAAAATTCAAAAGGTGAAGTTGAGATGGGAAGTTAGCGACGATAGCTCAAGTAGTAGAGCAGCGGCGTATCAAGCCGAAGATCGTGGGTTCGAATCCCGCCCGTGACACTGACTTTTTTATCTCAACTAAAATCCTTAATTAATTGAAAGATAGTAATTGGTCAAGCGGACCACGAAAATTAGTGAATTATTATATTTTTTGGCATCGGCCTTTTGATCCAGAGCCACAGACACACGCGTATCAGACGTCCAAGGATGACGCCGAACCCACAGATTACTCCCAATTTTCTATAAAAAAAATTACACTCTTCGGAGTATCCGTGGTCCATCGGACCCGGAGAGCCTAGACGCCCCACACCCCCAGGCCAGTGCCACAACCTCTACAGGGGCGCAGATGGCAGCCGTCTCTTTCCATATCACACAATGTGATTTATGCTGACGAAATACCTACAGACATGTTTAATAACCTACTGACATTGTTAAACCCAATATTGTTTAATTTCAGAATACCTTATGTAGGGCGTTTTCAAGATTGGATCGGATAAAGAAACAGTAGACTTTTTCGTTTTTAAACACACGCTCTTTATTCCTTTTTTACATAAGCACTTACTTCTAATAACCTTCCTAGAAGTGACCAATAGATTTAAGTACGTCACAGTCTGACGTCACCTTGGCGCAACTTTCAAATTTATTCTCCTACACTTAGTAATTATAAGGACACTCCAAAAACTTGCCTATGTTGTCAAACAGTATTATTGATTTTATTTAGATAGTCATTACAAAGGCCATGATTGGCCCTGATTCTGCAGGTAGTTTTGCATGTGGACCTACCGATTTGTTCTTTATGGAACCAAGTCACATTACGGATAATTGGCTCCATTTGTTTAAAAAACTAAAAAAGCTCGAACTAAGGTACCTGTCCAACCAAGTTTCCTGACTTCTTTTTTAATTGTTTAGAAAACATCGGTAAATGAGATTTTGAACAAGTTTTACACTGATTGATTGCTCTTTTAGCGAGGGAATCCACTTTTTCATTAAATTTAATGCCACAGTGAGACCATAGCCATTCATCGTGGATTAACTTTTGCTTCTGTTGAACATGGAACAATTTAGATAGTATTTCGTACAGAATGTGGACGAAGGGGTTTCTGATCCTTTAGATCTTAAGCTTTGCCATCGCACATTGGCTGTCTGATAATATAATGTATTTCTGGTGAGAAAGGTCGGCTATGTAACACATTGCGCTTGAAAGATAAATTGTTCATATGTTAAATACTAATTCTTAATATACATATGAACATAGATATGTGAACTTATATCAAATTATCTTTCTAGACCATTAACGCCTTCACTGAGGAAGACGAAAGAGTTGTAATTAAAAAATAATATTTTGCAATTTTAGGCAATCTTTTTTAAAACCTGTACTCGAGCCTAATAGAACCTTTGGTAAAAGAAAACCGAACATTGCTCTAGCGAAGACCCTATTTTGATAAGCATGATCTGAAAAGTCTGACAGGACACTTTATAAAAATTAATAATTGTTTTAGAATATGAAAAATTAAGAAATAAATGTCCCTAAATAGGGTCTGTACAGGCATAGAAAATAAAGAATAATAAGGGAAAAGATGTTTTTTTACAGATTACAGAACTTGCAAGTCAGGAAGATGTAAATAGTTGAAATAGTATTCTATTGCTATTGAGTAATATGTAGATACCTTATTTTTCTCTTCACACCTTTCCCTTTTTCTCTTAATCCTCACCTTTCTAGATTCTCCAATCTCTCATTACTTATTCTCTCTTTTACTTATTTTCAATAACTTTTTCCTCTCATCTCTCTCTCACTCTCTCTCTTTCTCTCCCTCCCTCCCTCTCTCTCACTCTGTCTCTCTCTGTCTGTCGTCTCTCAGCCTCTCTCACTCTCACTCTCTCTCTCTCTTTCTCCCTCTCTGCAACTTTCCTTCTGTATAATTATTACTACTTTTTGTACACACTTTTACATCCTGCATTCTAATATGGGAACTTACAAGTGGAGGTTCTTGGAATTCGTAGTATCTGCTTCTTCTGTATTCCGCCTGACGGCCGTCAACTGTGACTTTGACGTCATCACTTTTTACCATGGGTTCCGCCCTGAACCAGACATCTTTGAAATAAGGATGTTCCACCATCCTCTTTGGTGGGGCGTCGTCTGCGGGGCATTCCGGCCAATTGAGCCTCGGAACCGTGTCATACCTTGATAGATTGAAATTCAAAAAATCTATTAAGACTCGTTCTAGTTGATTTTTATCGAAAGGACTTACTGGGATTCCAGTGATCTGATTATGTTGTCGAGTCTCGAGAGTGCATTTTCATTTTGCGGACTGCAAATGTCGCCCATTGTGTCTTGTGTTTGTTATCTGCTAAATCTTCTTTTTGTGTATGTTGGAGTGTGGGAGTGAGTGTCGTGTGTTGTGTGTGTGTGTACTTGCCGTGGACTAATGAACTTTGAATTGTATCATGTGTTCCGTAATTAAGTCATTGTTTTAGTGTCATACGTTTAAAAAAAAATGTTTAAATCATTTCTTTTTATCAAAATTAAAGATTATAATATATTAACGAAATAAAGATTTTTATTTTTTTTCTCGTATTATTCTTGCTTATTCATTTTGTTCTCCCTATCCTTCTCTCGCTCTCTCTCCTCTCTCTCACTCTCTCTCACCTCATATTCAATCACACAGATAGATTCTCTCTGCTATCTCTCTTCCTCTTTTTCTCTCTCTACCCCCTTTGTCTTTCTCCATTGCGCTCTATCATTTTCAATCACGCACTTTCTCTGTTTTAATCTTTCTCTCCGTCTCTATCTCCCTCTCTCTCATATCTATCTCCTTCTTCTTGTTTTTGTGCTTTCGTCCATTCTCAATCTCTTTTATCGTTATCTTCCAAATTAATTTGAAAAACAGTAGAGATAACAATTTTCTTAGATTTGAGAGAACGAAGAACAAAACATTGACGTGAGGAACAATAAGTCATAAGAAAGGCGTTTTCCGATGGTTGAAATCAGATATTTCTTCATGTATTAAAAATCTAAATCGTGCAGGCTTGGTTTGGACGTGGTATCACGATAATTTGTTTACAAGTTCCATACAAAAAGTTGGTCGGTTCGTGAATCCCTTTCCGTTCTACAACGTGTTTTGTAGTAGTTTTGAAATAGTTTAAAATATTGTTGTGTAAATCCTTATGACATTGAAATTTTTGTAATTACTATTGTTTGCAAATTAATAGTTAATAAATTAATTTCAAAAATAAATAAAATGAATTTATACATTGCTAAAAAATATTAGATAAAAAATTAATTTATTAGTATTTTTATATTTATTAGCTATTACAATTAATTAAGATTTTTTAGTTGAGATGAAAAAAAGTTAATGGCACGAGCGGACCACGAAATTAGTGAATTTTATTAGCTGTAGTGGATGGTGTTAATATTGAGTTGTAGGTTGATTATTCTGTTGATTATAAATTTTTTTTAAACTACAATTTTCTAGCATTGTATGAATTCACTTTTTATGTACAATTCTATAGTAGTGTATAAATTCATTGTTTTTTAATGTTTTTTTAGCATTGTATAAATTCATTTTTTTATGTAAAATTTTCTAGCATTGTATAAATTCATTTTTTATGTAAAATTTTCTTGCATTGTGTAAATTCATTTTTTATTTAATTTTTTTAGCATTGTGTAAATTCATTTTATTTATTTATTTGTTAATCTAAAATTTCTAGCATTGTATAAATTCATTTTTTTATGTAAAATTTTCTAGCATTGTATAAATTCATTTTTTATTTAATTTTTTTTAGCATTGTGTAAATTCATTTTATTTATTTATTTGTTTGTTAATCTAAAATTTCTAGCATTGTATAAATTCATGTTTTTATGTAAAATTTTCTAGCATTGTATAAATTCATTTTTTTATGTAAAATTTTCTTGCATTGTGTAAATTCATTTTTTATTTAATTTTTTTTAGCATTGTATAAATTAATTGTATTTATTTATTTGTTAATCTAAAATTTCTAGCATTGTATAAATTCATTGTTTATGTAACATTTTCTAGCATTGTATAAATTCATTTTTTATGTAAAATTTTCTTGCATTGTGTAAATTCATTTTTTATTTAATATCTTTTTAGCATTGTATAAATTAATTTTATTTATTTATTTTTTAATCTAAAATTTCAAGCATTGTATGAATTCATTTTTTTAATGTAAAATTGTCTAGCATGGTATGAATTCATTTTTTATTTAATATTTTTTTAGCATTGTATAAATTCATTTTATTTATTAATTTTTTAATCTAAAATTTCTAGCATTGTGTATAAATTCATTTTTTCACATCCTACACGTATTTGTACAATTTAAACAATGTTTATAAATCTCAGTATCAGGCCCTGAAGATGATCTCAATAAAGATCGAAACGTTGGCACGATAAAGAAAACGTTTTTCTAAGACCTCCGTCACACCAGACCGCATCTCACGATCTCCGAATAAATCATTGACTAACAGTCACTAAACACCATACATTAAACAGTTATGTCAATTAGAATTAACTTATTAAGTATATAAAAGTAAGTCGATCAAAATATTAGAAACTTTATGTCGTAATGTGTATTTGATAGCTCAGAAATAGCTATGTTAGGCCCTTGATCTATTTTATGAAACAAACAACATAATGAACTGTTAATGTTTTATGTTTCAAAGTGTGCGAAAATGAGGGTGTGCTTTGAGATTAACCTTAATGTACTGACAGTGTTTCTGATGTAGGCGTACGCTGTCACCAGCTAATATCCCGATTGAGAAACGTCTCTTTGTCTTTTGGCGTGCACAACGAGCGCAAATGCTTTCCTCCTAACGGGGAGGAGATTGCATTCAATGGTAATGGACCGGCACCCCAGGAAAAGAACAATAACCGGCGACAATTTACGTAAGTAGACGACAAATCAAAGGAACCCGTCAGCGGTGAAGATTACATTTCCCCGTATCGGAGGATACTGCAGTAGACGACCTACTTTACAACTCAGGAAGCAGAGAGATACGGAAGACACTCGAACCATATGACTCAGGCCTCTTTTCTTTCACTCTTTGAATAGGATCCGATACATGCTAATGTCGTGACTTAAATTCAAAATAGGAAATTAAGCAGTTGGGCAACACCGGTCGGAATACAAATCGAACTTTATGTAATAAATCATCACTCGGCCCCATAAGATAATGATTTGTCATCTGTTAAAACAGCCTGTTCATTTCCTATATTCCCCTCTTTCCTTTTCTAATATTCTAACACAAGACCTAAATTTTATATTGAATTGATATACACACTCCGTCATAACTACTTTTTATTTTTAGACCTAAAACTTTTCAATACATCGAAATGAAAAAAACTACCCAATGTAGAATTCTGTGAAGATTTTACGCAAAAATGTTTTCTTAAAAATGAGACTTCCATCATTCTTAGACGGATAAGAAATTGTACGATTTAGAAAGTGTTACACGAACTTTACGTTAATTTATAGAGTCGTGCCGAAAATTACATAACGTCTTTATTTTTTCTTTGATGTTTTTCCTCATATCAGAAATACTCCCGTTGATTATCTTCAATATAAAAGTTTATATAAGTGCCTATTGAATAATTATTTAGCTATATGTACCCTCTCATAAGTTAGTATTTTAAAAACGTGTTAATTATTCAATATGCGCCTCCTCCTAAATGAATTAGGTACATGATGCTTTGGCAAGGCCTTAATCAACAAATGATTCGTAATCGTAAGCCCCTTTGAAACGACCTGCAGCCACTAGCAACTCGGAGAATATGGTGTACCAAACGCCTAGAAGAAAACACTAGCTGGAATGCTGTTAGGTTTACTGATAAGTCGAGTTTCTGTCTGTATGGCAGGCGCAGAAGAGTACCGAAAACAGGGGATGTTTACAATGCCCCAGTTCGTGCTCCCTTCAGTGCAGTTTAGAGGAGGTCGTGTCTGGGCTGGGATTTACACTGGAGGTCGATCTGGATTCCATATTGTTGAAGACAACCTCACCGAAGTCCATCATAAGCCCAAGGAATTATCGAGGAATACTTCCCTCAAACTAGGGATCTCATTAGCACGGATTTTCGATTTCTGGATGACATGCAAAACATCGAGGCAGAGTTGTTCATCAATGTTTACGAAACTTGGAAATTTCCCATCTGTCCCTTCCCCCATTGCTCCAGACCTCAATCCCATTGACCAGATGTGGGATGCATTGCAGAGAAGGCTTTTCGATCATCATCCGCAGCCTGTGACCTGCAACAACTGAGTGCAGCGTTGCAACATCTATGGAGTGAAATTCCTTGTGAAATTAGTGACAACCTTATTAACAGTACGCCTAATGCACAGAGTTTTTAGCTGACAGAGGACATTATACACGGTATTAATTGTATAAAAAAATTATTGTGTCCAATAAACAAAATTATGGGATTAGAACTTTTTATTTTGTTATTTTTCAAAATCCCTCAATTAAATATTCCTTCAATAAGAAACATTTTTTCAAATATTTGAATGCTAATATCTCGTAGTTTGTTTATTTAAAAAAAAAATTTAAAAANGGTAGTTTTGCATGTGGACCTACCGATTTGTTCTTTATGGAACCAAGTCACATTACGGATAATTGGCTCCATTTGTTTAAAAAACTAAAAAAGCTCGAACTAAGGTACCTGTCCAACCAAGTTTCCCGACTTCTTTTTTAATTGTTTAGAAAACATCGGTAAATGAGATTTTGAACAAGTTTTACACTGATTGATTGCTCTTTTAGCGAGGGAATCCACTTTTTCATTAAATTTAATGCCACAGTGAGACCATAGCCATTCATCGTGGATTAACTTTTGCTTCTGTTGAACATGGAACAATTTAGATAGTATTTCGTACAGAATGTGGACGAAGGGGTTTCTGATCCTTTAGATCTTAAGCTTTGCCATCGCACATTGGCTGTCTGATAATATAATGTATTTCTGGTGAGAAAGGTCGGCTATGTAACACATTGCGCTTGAAAGATAAATTGTTCATATGTTAAATACTAATTCTTAATATACATATGAACATAGATATGTGAACTTATATCAAATTATCTTTCTAGACCATTAACGCCTTCACTGAGGAAGACGAAAGAGTTGTAATTAAAAAATAATATTTTGCAATTTTAGGCAATCTTTTTTAAAACCTGTACTCGAGCCTAATAGAACCTTTGGTAAAAGAAAACCGAACATTGCTCTAGCGAAGACCCTATTTTGATAAGCATGATCTGAAAAGTCTGACAGGACACTTTATAAAAATTAATAATTGTTTTAGAATATGAAAAATTAAGAAATAAATGTCCCTAAATAGGGTCTGTACAGGCATAGAAAATAAAGAATAATAAGGGAAAAGATGTTTTTTTACAGATTACAGAACTTGCAAGTCAGGAAGATGTAAATAGTTGAAATAGTATTCTATTGCTATTGAGTAATATGTAGATACCTTATTTTTCTCTTCACACCTTTCCCTTTTTCTCTTAATCCTCACCTTTCTAGATTCTCCAATCTCTCATTACTTATTCTCTCTTTTACTTATTTTCAATAACTTTTTCCTCTCATCTCTCTCTCACTCTCTCTCTTTCTCTCCCTCCCTCCCTCTCTCTCACTCTGTCTCTCTCTGTCTGTCGTCTCTCAGCCTCTCTCACTCTCACTCTCTCTCTCTCTTTCTCCCTCTCTGCAACTTTCCTTCTGTATAATTATTACTACTTTTTGTAAACACACTTTTACATCCTGCATTCTAATATGGGAACTTACAAGTGGAGGTTCTTGGAATTCGTAGTATCTGCTTCTGTGTGTGTGTGTGTGTGTGTGTTTGAGCCTCATGATACATTATTTTTGAATTAAGAGACGTGATATTTACTAAAGAAGACTGTGCTCGTCCCACATTTCAGTATGACGATCGCCCACATAGGCTCATAAACGGCCAATTATACGTTGAAAACAAAAACTCAGCAAAAGGAAAATGCACAGTGCATATCTAATATCGAAAATCATATTTAAGCGATTCGATAAACTGATTTTCTGTAATAACCGAAATATTGGAATGTAAATAACGAATCACTGATAGCATGTATATTCCACTAAAAAATTAACTCTCCGCCCTGACATTGCTATTATATTTATATAAAAAAAAGTCTTAATGAAACTCTAAACTCACTATTTTTATCTTACTGTATAATACTATATCGTGTATTAAGTTTAACAATATACACTCAGTGGGAGGGGGGGGGCGTCGGTGGCCGCAAGGTTTAGTCGTTTACACGGCGCTCATCACTGTAAGGTAAAGGTCCCGGGTTCGAATCCAGCGGCCCTGCATTCGAACCCGACATACTTACAAATGAGATTCTTCAAAAACACCGGCACCCTGAGGGTTTATAGACCGCTGCTGTTGCGAACCCTCGTTAAAAAAAAAATTCTCGCTAGTAATACATATCCAGAAGATAATTACAACAATCTCTTTTGCAATTAAGTTCGGAAGCAGAATGTCTGAATTTTACTATTTTTTAAATGCATTTTACATTTTTCAAATTCTATATTTATAAAAAATTTGGGACTACTCATGGCTTTCAAAGGAAATAGTTTTAAGTAAATAGAACACAGCCAATTTCTTCTCTCTTAGTAGTCTTCTGTATTACCATTTTCCTCATGAAGTTCAAAATTTAATCAACAGATCGAAAGGTATCAACTTGGTAGTATTAGATGATGAGAAATGTAGTCAAACAGGCCTGTTTTTTATTTACCGTGTTCATTTATCCACAAATCGTGGGCAAATAAAAACAAAAAACGAAATAGAGCAGAAGTTTGAAAAAAAAATATATTTGTCTTTGAGAACTATAATAAAATAAATTACAAAAACATAAATATGAATGGAAACAAGTGCCATCAAAATGCCTGGAGAATGCAATGCAGTATAGAACATCGGATTGACATTGAAAACTTAAGGAAAAAATACAAATACAATTTTGAAACAAATAAGTTAATACTTGAAAGTATAACTGAAAGTCGACGTGGAAAAAACGGATTAAGAATACAATCAAAACTCCGACAGCTGCGTTAAATTTCACGCCATTGAGAAATAGACTTAGGACGTTATCGTTTAACGAGGGATGAACGGCTTTTGTCTTAGGATTTATCTCGATGAAAGCGATCCCCCTCGTTATAACAAGGCCGTCACGGCCAAAATTACAAAAAGATCTCGATGTTTGCAGAAAGGAAGCCCGGGCCGACGAACAGAACGTGTGGAAACAAAAGGACCATGCGTGTCGAAGGTGTGATGGATAAACGTGTCTTCGTCGTCCTATTCCACCCCGCAGTTTTCTCAAAAAGTACAGAACCTAGAAAAAAATTAAAAAAGTATTTTTTAAGCCCTTATTTCAAACATTGCTATAATTACAATTTTTTTCAATTTCTTAAAAAAGTTGAAAAATGTATTTTTGGTTTTTCGATGGTCACTTACAGTTTCATTAGAAGAAGATCCACTCCATTAGATATTAAGAAAAATTACGAAAGCCATTTGAAATTGTATTACAAAAACATAAGATATTGCAAAGATATTAAATCAGATATAGAAAAAGAAACTTTACTATTATTTTTATAAAGATATATGTATTTAGTACTCCTAATAGTAAATTGACCTATAAATTATTTTAATTAATTATACTTTTTATCTAAGCTCTTGGTTGAGATTAAAACTATAATTTACCATTATTTTTAAGTTAAAAATAAATTTTAGTTGAGTTTGCCTTTTTGATATAACCCAATGTCATTAACATTAATTAAAGTTAGAAAAAAATTTGTTTACACTAAGTATTGTTTTTGGCCTTCATTTACGATGCTGTAAACCGACCGAATTTATATCTTAATCAACAGGCAAATTTCATAGGTGTTTTAATGCTCTTTTCAATGATGTAATCAAATTTGGAGATTTTATGAGGCACAGGGGACTTTATAGCAAAACGTTTTGAAAGGCTGTAGTAACCTGAAAAGTGAAATCTCGAATTCCATTCAGATTTAGACTTTTGAACATTTTTTTATTGAGAAGTGAAGCTGTAGTTAGGACGAGGACACCCTGTATAATACGTTCTTGCCATAATAGCTTTATCATTGCCCTTAAAAAACATTTACAATTTGTATAGCTAGATAATAATAAAAATTTTATTTGCGAGAAGTACAGTAATACTTAAAGTTAAAACATAAAAATTGGATAAATAATTAAAAATTAAGGATAAAATAGTGAAATAATTAAGACATTTAGCCAATCTGAATATTTTCGCTTTTCACTTAAAAGCAGTGCTTGTAACAGGTGGCAGGAGTTATGTCAGTGGACAAAATTGTTAAAAATTATATCATATGAGCTTAGAAGGTGTTCAAGACAAAATAAATCAAAGAAAAAATAAAAATAATAAGTGAGAAAAGCAAAAATAAAACAAAATGCAATACAATCAAATAAGGATAAAATAAAAAGTAAATAATGCAATAATTGCCGAATGCTGTTAAATATACCACAAAGAAAGTTCAAATTATAAATTTAAAAATTTGAAAATAATAAATTTTTTGAAATCGTAATGCGAATTAAATTTGTTAACATTAATTTTATAATTGTATAGAAACCTAAAAACAACCTTTAGTGAAAATTAAAGTAAAAATTAGTGTTTATTTTGGATATAAAAATATTAATAATTACTTTTTGTCTTGTTTGATATTCAGCAAAAATGTTATTTTTAAAGATATACAAACAAGAACATTTAAAAAAAAATGTATAAATTTTCGAACCTGAAAAATATAGTTTATTGGTATTGAATCCGAAATGTTTACAAAGGATAATTGTCAACAGAGAATTTTGAGTTATAATTAATGGATTTAAATAACAATTATTGGTTCCACCTCATGAAACAATACCATAACAAATTATAGACTAAACTAAGGCTTAACAAAATGATTTTAACAATTTGAAATTTACGAACTTTCTTAATACATATGATTTATAAAGTAATTTTCTTGCCCGCATAACCAAAGAATCAACGTGTAACTTAAAATTTAACTAATTAAGGTTTTTAGTTGAGATAAAAAAGTCAGTGTCATGAGCGGGATTCGAACCCACGATCTTAGGCTGTATACGCCGCTGCTCTACCACTTGAGCTACCGTGACCTCTATCCACTCGGACACTAACTGCCCATCTCAACCCCACCTTTTTAAAATTTTCCCTCCTTTTTGCCATGTTTCAAATGCCGTGTTATCTATTTGATTCTCGGGGACAATGAAATAGCCACGGAAAGCTGGAGTTGACATGGACCCCACCTTTTGAATTTTCCCTCCTTTTTGCCATTTTTCAAATGTCGTGTAATATATTTGATGTAAATTGTCACCCTCAACACGGCAGACAAGAATGACACATTTACACGGAAAACAAACACTTTGAGCCCTGAAGATGATGTCAATAAAGATCGAAACGTAGTACGATAAAGAAAATGTTTTTCTAAAGCCTACGTCACACCAGAGCGCACCTCACGATCCCCAAATAATCTAAATAATAATATCTCGTTAGAATAATAAAAATAATGTGGAAAGTTTAAAGGGGGGAAAAACAGCAGAGGACTTCGTCGGTCTCCTGTATGTTTTTACTTCTTTCACTGGTTTTTCACGTATATCTTTCAACTCGCAGCCATTTGAAAAGTCTTGATTTGTTACTGAATCTTATGTTTTTAAAAGTCATTTGTACCTCAGGTTGTCAACAACGGAATAGACACAAAATACATGTGTACAATATCACCAGCATAGAAACATTGCCATATTCACTCAACTAGAGTCCACAATATTAAGCAACCTGTTTATTACATTACATAATGATACATAAATACGATACAAAACTATTTATAGTTTATGATAGTTGTGGGTCTGCGAGTCGGTGAAACAGGTCGGACCTGCATAGGTCACTAGGTCTGTATACTGCTTGGTACTAGACACCAACAGCTAGTACTCGAAAGAAAGCATGAATTTATAAACTAGTGTTATTTGTACCCCTGCAAAACTGATTACCACCACGGCATATAGGAGAGTACATTCGATGACTTCGGACTTCCTTTATAGAAGTCAATTCTTTATATCATTAAGAATTACGAAAGAAAACATGATTATAGAAACTAGCGTTATTTTTATCCCTACAAAAATATGAACAAAGCTAATAAATAAATTATTTGGATTCAGTCGGGTCACGTATGTGTTGTGTACGTTTCAATCTTTCGAGCTAACAAAAGAATGACCTAGGTTCTTCTAAGCGAAAAACTAGCGGATTTGGATGAATGGTCACTTTTTTTGATACAACGAATTTCTTTGTTTTTACATATTTACACAATACAAGTTTTGTACGAATGTCCGTATACAAACATTTATTTTTAAAAAAGTGCATATGTGTGTGCATGTTTAGATTATGAATGCTCATATTTAACACGTACATTTGGTTAAATAAAAATATGTAATTTTTATTAATGCATTTATTGAAATTCCTGTTTGATGTTTGGATGTGCATGTTGGTATTATTAAAGTCGCCTTTTGGATATTTATGTAAGCTTATGTATGTGCACTATTGTGCAACAATGTTTTTATGTTTGAATTGAACCTTTGGAAAAAATACGCATTGTGCAATACATTTTCGAGATGATTGTCGAATAAAGTAAGGTTTGAAATTGAAGTTTATTTGTTTAAACTTGGTTCTTCTTGAAATATTTCAATTTTTTAAATATAGAGATGGCTCTGCTAGGTTCACTACCTATCCTGATCCCTGGCAATGCACCGGTTCAAGTTTTTAAAAGGTTATTTATTATCTGCCATTTGGTTCGATTGATCAGATGAAAAACTTTATCACTAGTTGGTGAAATACTTTTTTTTCTACGGAGTTTTCTAGTTTTTCTGCAGATCAAACGATGCGATGAGAGGGGTGATAGGATGATGTAGAAAGTGAAAAGAAAGGATGAGCTCTGGTACGGGAAGGTCGTATATAAAGTGGGGAGGGTCGTTCCTCTGTTGCAGTGCAGCCAAGACACATCATGCGGACCATTGTAAGTACAGAAAACCGGCAAACCTGTCAAATTATTCAAAACTAAAACTACACAACTATATCATCTACCTTTTACTTTCTTATATATTGTCTCGTTTAATTTCTCTGCACAGAAAATTCAATGTTATTCAAAAGAATTACGAAGAACTATCGAATCTCAGACTTGAAAGAAATCAATCTTCTTTCCAAAAAAGACATTCGTTTACCAATTATTTTCTTTGGTATCTGTTGTACTTATTATAATCAAAATAATTATTAAGTTTCGTATTTACTAAAGAACTAAAAATAATCCAATGATCTTTATACCCATAATAAATTGTACTCACATTCATGTAGTTAGTTATGAGTAGAGCCCGAATTTGCATGCAATTGCATGTTCCTTTTGCTAAATTTACGACCATGGTAAACAGATATTTATCCGCATCTTTCATGGTACGGTGGTTCAAACTGTACTCTCCATATTTTTGCATATTTCAAGAATATTGAAATAATTTTTCCCTTAATCCAGGAACGAACTTACCACCGATACAAACCGATACCGATATTATTTGTGGCTCCATTTTCAAAACTTTTGGTGCAATTTTTTTTTGCCTTTCTTGAAAAATTAGTTTTTCTGACGTAGACGGGTTTTGGAAATAGAAGCCAGTTGAAACCCAAAAATACTTAGTGTCGGACCTCTTTCGTATTTTCAACTTAGTAAACCGAAAAATTCCGAACGTAAGAACTTCTTCTAAAATATCAGACTGGATTTTTCCTCTCAACGCAAAACGGAAATCCCAGGGGATGCAGAAATTATATTACAAAAGATATTAAAAAAATACCCTTGATTGAAATTCCAAATTGACTGATATTGGGAAAATTAATTAATTCTTAAATGGAAACAATAAAGTTGTTATATAGGGAATTGACATTCAAGTTATTAGTTTTCATTTTGAAAAAAAAAAAAACCATTTGTAAGTATGTCGGGTTCGAATGCAGGGCCGCTGGATTCGAACCCGGGACCTTTACCTTACAGTGATGAGCACCGTGTCAACCGTTGCGGCCACCGACGCCCCTGTCTCCTTTGCTGATGCTGTCTTTAGGTGCAAATATTTTTTTGAGCCATAAACGCTGTAGGATTACCGAAAATAACTTTGAAATGTTTCCCATCGTCAATTTTAATTAAGATCTCAGCTTAATTATTTTGCTCCTAATTTTGTATAATAAGATACATTACATAATATTTGTGTGATTGAAATTTTTCTGTTCTATATTTCAAAATGAATATGTAATAGTACAAAAGAATAATCTCGGTTGAAAAAAAAAAAAGTTAAATTATTAGTCGGGTGATGTTTCTGAATTAATAATAATATAATATATAATCTTAAAAATCGCTGATCAGTATTTTTAGAAAACTATCTTGTTATATCATTTTTCTATCGTGAGGTTTTAACATTTTCATGATCTGATGAAATTCTTGTTTAATTTAATTTTGTTTTAAGATTTTCCTTTTTATTTATTGTACTTAAATTGTTGGAAATATTAACTCGCAAGTTAAAAGGAAAAAAAATATACAAAACCATCCTCGTGGCCAGCATTTCCTCGCTGTTTTGTCTCAATCAAACTATTCAACAAAGCCTATTTTCACTGAAAAATAATTACACAAATAATATGATTCTTTTCACAATTAAAAACAAATAGGACAAAATTTAAAATAAATCTTTTCCAATCTGCTGTGATGACTAAAACGTTGAAGAAATAATTATAGTCTGTTTGTACTTTCACTGACGTTTGCATTACACCCTTGGCATTAAAGGATTAACATTAATCCAACTGGAAAATGTCAACAAGCAAAGTTCACAAGTTCAAATTGGAACTTAAACATAAAACTTCAGTCACTTAAATAGTGAGTAGTATTGGAAGTAATAATGCAGACCTATCTTTCAAAACTCTAATCTAAAACATCAATGTTTTATTACCCCATGTATCTTATAAATTATTTAATGTTTTAAAACTTCCTTATTTTCTCTCTCTTTCTCTCTCGCTCCCCCTCTCACTATTTCTCTCTCTAAAGTAAATTCATATACAAAATATTCCTAGTAACCTCTATAAACATGAACTTTTTATAGCATAATAGAATATTTTTATACTTGTTTTACTTTATGTATCTTCTTCAAAACAGCATCACTTGAGTAGTGAGTCTCCCTTTTTTTAACTCATAAAATAATGCTAAATCAATTATGGTCGTAATAATCGTCGTGCTAATATCATAGGATTATTAAAACAAATTGCTTTTATAAACAACAAAGAGCTCTTCGTTTATGCCAATCACTTTATTTTCTTTGCTTCCATCGACTTTATATTAATACCGACTGAACAATTAATAAATTCACATAGCGAATGGCGTAACATTACACGAGTTTTCATTGCATTATTAAATCAGCCTTTGGAATGTATGAGAGCCGTTCTCGTTGTTATATTCAACAAAATCGAAGGTAACTTTCACCTGCCGGAGTGCACAAGATGTAACTTTGACCTATGGCCCAAAGCACAGATCGGTTTTTGAAAATGGATTAGCCTACTGACATTTTACCTCAATTTGATGGTCCGTATGATGCAAATGTGAAACCTTTTTTTTCATTTCATTTAATTATTCAGAAATCGTGAGATGAGTTCTGGTGTTATGTAGGTTTCAGAAAAACATTTTCTTTATCGAAGACAAACACTTTGAGCCCTGAAGATGATCTCAATAAAGATCGAAACTAATTATTCAGAAATCGTGAGATGCGGTCTGGTGTTATGTAGGTTTCAGAAAAACATTTTCTTTATCGAAGACAAACACTTTGAGCTCTGAAGATGATCTCAATAAAGATCGAAACGTTGGCACGATAAAGAAGATGTTTTTCTGAAACCTACATCACACCAGACCGCATCTCACGATTTCTGAATAATTATCGCTTAACGGTCACTAATCGCCACACACGTATTTTTTAATGTTTATACTACCGTAAATATTGACAAGATTAGATTTTAATGTTCTGTCTCTTGTATTTCATATCCTTTCTTACATACGTTCTCATAAATTATATTAATTTTTAAAGCTTACATTTTGGGTCTCCCTCCCTCTCACCCTCTATATATATACATCTACTTGTCTATCTATTTATTTATCTATTCATCTAACTATTAATCTATCTATCTATCCCTCTTTCGTCACCTTAACTCATTGTAAATCGCTATATTAGACTCCTTCATTTTCATTTCTTGTTATCCTTTTTTTCGCTCAAACCATCGCGCTCTAAGAGCCGTTGGATGTAAGAGGTCAAATTATACCAAATTTTGCTAATGTAAACACGACGTTAATTATTCATTCTCTCTCACTCGGTTACGCTTCCCCTCACTCTCACTTTCACTCTCTCTCTCATTCTCTTTTTCTCTTCCTCACTTTCAATCACACACTCTTTTTGAATCCCTCTTGTTGTCTCTCTCTCTCTCTTTTTTCTCTCTCTCTCTCTGACTATCTCTCTCCTTCGCTTTTCATCCGTTTCACCCTCTTTATTCTTTCTTCCTCTTTCTCTTTCACTTAATATCTCCTTCTCTGTCTATCTGTCTCTATCTCTGTCTGTCTGTCTGTCTGTCTCTCTCTCTTTCTCTCTCTCTCTCTCTCTCTCTCCTATCTCTCTCTTATTCTCTTTTTCTCTTCCTCACTTTCAATCACACACTCTTGTTGAATCTCTCTTGTTGTCTCTCTCTCCTCTCTCCCTCTCTCTCTCTCTCTCTTTATTTATTTATTTCTGAAGTCCGCTCTCTCTTTTTCGCTTCTCCCTATCTCTGTCTCTATCTTTTTCTACCCTTTAAGGCTTGCTCCAACTAGAAAACCAACAACTCGTAATATAATTAATTTTTTAATATATATTATCAGGCTCTCACCCTGCTGTTGTGCGCTTGTGCGTACGGCCAGCAGCAGGCCCAGAAAAGACAAGATTCCCGTCCGGCGGTATACCAGAACCAGGAGTACAAGGACCAGGAGCAGGCGGAAGACAGACCGAGGTACCAGAACAATTTCCAAACCGGCTACAACCAGGGCTTCCAAAATTACGAAAACCAAAACCGGAATTATCAACACGACAGCACTCCAGTACCGGCTCACCTCCCGGAACCGAGAGTAGCCGTCACGCCTATACCAATCATCAGGCTAAACAAACAGCAATCACTCGACGGAAGCTACAAATCTAGGTGAATAAATTAATTTTTATAATAAATCCGGAATACGGGATACAATTTTTGATGGTGATGTTAATGATGGTGTTTAGTTTCAATTAATTGCGTTGCCAAATAATATTGAGTGTGTGGTAAAGTAGGTACGATTAAATTGACTTCTTTGGTTAAACATTGGCAGATATGGTTCATCTGTTCTCAATCGAACATCACGGCTTACGTTGCAGATACACTTTTTTTTGTCATTTTTGATTTTCGGTCAACCTGAAGGCAAATAGCTTCATTTGTACTTACCAAAACCGACAAAAAACATAGGTGCAACAGCAGATGTGCCAACAGATAGAACAGAACTATTATAGAACGTTTTCGTTTAGAAATTTAGGTCCCAAATAACGGCAATATCTCCAAAAGCATCTATAGCCACATGACGAATTCAGTCAGGAATGAGACAAATGTTCAGCAACAGCAGAGGTTACATCAACCCTCGGGGTGCCGGTTTTTGAAAAAAAAACAAAAAACATTTGTATGTCGGGCTCGAATGCAGGGCCGCTGGATTCGAACCCGGGACTTTTACCTTACAGTAATGAGCGCCGTGTCACCGCCTAAACCGTTGCGGCCATATTACTAATCCAAGATTGACAGGAGTGTTGTACCTACTCAAAATTTTAGACGATTTTGTTGTAGAATGTAAAGAGGTGCTTGGAGACTTTTGAGATGTAAAAAACCTGCCCATACTCCACATAATTTTCAAAAACATACGGCGATTAATAAGCAAATAATTAATTTTCCCAAAAATATAAGTTCAAGGGTATAAGAAACAAAAAACTACTGACAAATGTTTAAAAAAGCGTCACACTAGCATTCAATGTTTTCTAATTTATTTTGTAGAGTGATATGGACGTTTTTAAGTAGTTTGTGAATTTAAAAAAATAACTCAACGCTCCAAATTATTTAAATTAAGCCATACACTGAAGTTTTATTATAGGAAAAGTCGATATATTGTCTTTTCTGGAAAGTTAGGCTACCCAACACAGTTGTTCTTTTTGAATGATCTGTTTTTCAGATATAGTGAAACTACAAGCAAACTGTGTTCATGTGTTTGGTCAAAATTCGAAATAAATTATTTTAATTAATTATACTTTTAATCTAATATCTTAGTTGTGATGAAAAAACTAGTGCCACGAACGGGATTCGAACCGATGAACCTCGGTTAAAAGTATAATTAATTTCAATAATTAATAGGTCAATTATGCCCACCAATTGCATGTATGGTTTGAAATAAACTGAAGCAGGGATTTTTATTCGGAGAGTGAAGGGGTTGATTTTTCTGGGTTGAATTTTATTCCTCCTTTTCACACGGAGACTCCAGTAGGGTGAGATGTTATGAAAAGTTTAGAGTCGAAATAACTGGATCAGAGTTACTTGGGAGGATCGCTATCGTCTCGAAGATTAGGGTGATTTGATGATGGGGTGGGAGGTCAAATGCGTGGGGATCAGAACATTACCCTGAGGTACACCAGCAAGGATTAGGTATTTTGGCCATTGAGGTATCTGCGAATTTCCAAAACTTTAAAATTATCAGAAATCTATATGTTTTTAATTGGTCATAGTTTACCAAAGTGATTATTTAAAATGATTTATAATTTTGATAATGGATTTGATGATGGGGTGGGAGGTCAAATGTGTGGGGGCCAGAACATTACCCTGAGGTACACCAGCAAGGATTAGGTATTTTGGCCAGTGAGGTATCTGCGAATTTCCAAAACTTTAAAATTATCAGAAATCTATATGTTTTTAATTGGTCATAGTTTACCAAAGTGATTATTTAAAATGATTTGTAATTTTTGTGCAAAGTGTGGTTTGAGATTTTTAATAATTTGGAAAAAAGTTGAAGGTTGAGACGATGAGTTGGTGTCTCGGAGGACCAGTCATGTGACAAGTGCTTCGAGAAGCGGCGTATTGGGTCGGAAAGGTCGTGGGTTCGAGTCCCCTCGCGCCACTAATTTTTCCTCTCAACTACACTTTACATAAAAATTATACATATAAATCATCTGGATTTATGAAACTACTGACAGACGAACAACAACTGGTTTCTATTTTTTTGTAAAGCGGTATTAAAGATTTTGAAGCGGTTTGTGATTTTAAATAATCTTTCTATACTCCGCAATTTAAATTAGATCATTCGTGGCAAATTTATTATATAATTTTATTATCAAATAGGAAGAATCGATATATTGCCTATAAAGTTAGGAATCACAGGACAGTTAGTGGTTCGTATGAAATGATTATTTTTTCACAATGTTCATCTGTTTGATGTCAGCTTTATTATTATAATTTTACATAAAAATTCAGGGATAGAGTGAATTTAAAAGATTCCATAATTTTTTATAATATAATAAATATTTTTATTTGATAATCATTAGAAATGGCTTCAAAGTTCTGTTGTAGAATGTTATGACCGACTATTTTCTTGCATAATTTCCTACCTTCACGATCATAAAGTTGGAAGGAAAAAAAAAGAAAGGAAAATTGAATTTACGACACTGTCTTATTAGTGAAATAAATCTGTAACTATTTTACGAGTGTTGATATGTTTTTGTTTCTGCTCAAAATTCTATTTCAATTTTTGCTTTTAATACAAGGACCAGGGTGATCAGGGATGATCAAAAGTATTGATAAATGTTCAACAATGTATAGGCCACCCAGGACTGTTTTTTAAACATATCTTCTCTTTCTATATTTCATTTTACTCTTATTTATTTTTGCTTACTTATTTCGTTTTATAATTGAAATAAAAATTTTGCGATTTGTTCTTTAAAAAAGCTTTATTTTAAGAAGTTTTTTATTTTAGATTTTTTCGAGTTTAAGCTACAGCAGAATACACGTATATGTGAAAAGTTCAAAATGCGATCGTTTTAACTTATTGTCTAACTTTTTATACAATCGTCGAAGCAAATGGGAGGTCAAAAACGGAAAAAATACCCTCGTTGCATAACGCCATGATGTAAGTTCATTCAGGGGTGGGAATGATGAGCTTGCCACTCCTCCGGCTTCGTTTGCGCAACTGCGTAACGCAAACACATCTCGACGAGTATCAAATCAAAAACGCATCGAAATCTCTGACCTACTCGGGAGAGTTCAGGACCCAAGGCGGCTGACGGGAAAATCGCAGAATGTCGCAACTACGACTAACCTCTTAGCCTCTTAGGCCTTATGCCAGCAGTCATCCGTCAAATTTAACACCTGGGGTCTCACCCGTTTCTTTATTTCTCCGCGATACGACCTTTTCAAAATTAGAAAAGCCGAAGGTAAAATCTAAAAGGAACTGGTTAAATTAATTCGGAATGGAGGACAAGCGATAACCCGCAGACCAGTTTTTTGATTCACATAAACTTCTTTGATTTTGTTATTTGTGTTTTTGCTGTTTTTCGGTGTAAACCTCTTACAGCGTTTGCTTTTATTTTATTTTTTTATTTATCACANTTTTTCTTAATTTGTGAATCTCTATTCTTTTAAGGAGTTCTAAGTCAATTGGTATCTGCCCTGTTATAACTTGAAGTGCGTCTGTTGACGTAGTTCGATACCCTTTACATAGCCATTTTAGTGCACCTCTTTGTATGGTTAATAATTTATTGACTTGGGTTTTATTTAATTTTGTAGCCCAAGCTGGTGCTGCATAACACAGTATTGAAAGGTTTACGACTTTATATAATATTTTGTGCTTTCAAATTTTAGCCCCCAAGTAGCTTTTGCTAAGTTAGCCAGGTAATTTTGTTTTCCTTCTATTTTTTTCCGGATGTTCTCAATATGGATGCTAGGGTTGAAACTGTTACTGATCACTACTCCTAAGTATGTTACGTTTTTTTCTACTTTTATTGTCTTCCCGTTGAAGCTAATTTTTGGGTTATTCGAGGGTGCTACTTTTCCTTTTAAGAATTGAACTTTGGTTTTTTCCTCTGATACTTGGAGCTTTTGTTGTTGGCACCAATTATGGACTATCTTTATAGCTTCTTCGCATCTTTCGTTTATTACCCTTACGCTGTTCCCATCAACGACTAGGGCCAAGTCATCCATGAATGCAGTTGCACTTATTTGGTAGGTTTGCATTTCCTCCAATATTCCATCAAAGGCTATTATCCATAGAAGTGGTCCTAGGATGGAGCCCTGGGGGCATCCTAGGTTCACTCTTTTGAACAATTCTTCGTTATTAATTTCTGTTGTTGCATATCTTTCGTGGAAGTAATTTTTGATAACTTTGAGTAGTTGATCATTGATTCCTTTGTTATAGAGGTTAAGTCTGAACATTAATTCGGAATGGAGGACAAGCGATAACCCGCAGACCAGTTTTTTGATTCACATAAACTGCTCAAATAATAATAGGGGTATTGCCAATTCTCTACCTTTTTATTATAAATTGATTAAAATTTATTACAAATTATTATGTTTTTACTGAAGGAATATTTAATTAAAAGATTTTGAAAAAATAAAAGGTTGTAATTCCATAATNCAAGTGGTAGAGCAGCGGCGTATCAAGCCGAAGATCGTGGGTTCGAATCCCGCTCGTGCCATTGACTTTTTTATCTCAACTAAAAACCTTAATTAATTGTATGATATTAATTGGTCAAGCGGACCACGAAACTAGTGAATTTACTGTTAATAATGTTGTCACTAATTTCACAAGGAATTTAACTCCATAGATGTTGCAACGCTGCACTAAGTTGTTACAGGTCAACTGGCTGCAAATGGTGATCGAAAAGCCTTTTTGCAACGCATCCCCCACATGTTGTCAATCGGGTTGAAGTCTGAGACAATGGAGGAAGGAGCAAATGGGAAATTCCCAGATTTTCTAAACTTTGATGAACAACTCTGCTTCTATGAGGTCTGGTATTGTCATCCAAAAATCGAAAATCCCTGATAATGAGATCCCTGGTTTGTGGGATGTAGTCCTCGACAATTTCTAGAATATAACGGACTGCGGTGATGTTGCCTTCAACTATGGAGTCCAGTTCTTCCTCCATTGAAAATCCCAGCCAAGACCATTGCACCACTACAAACTGATCCTTCGGCGCCTGCTTTCACTGTAGAAACGCGACTCATCAGTAAACATGATAGCATTCCAACTGGTGTTCTCTTCTAGGCGCTCGATGCACCATAGTTCCAACCTGAGTTGATGATGGCGGGCAGTTGCTGTCAGCCTCAAAGGGGCATACGAAGTGAGGCCAACTTCCCACAAACGATTACGAATCGTTTGAGTCAATAAAAGCCTTGCCAAAACATCTTGTACTTCGTCTTAATGCACTGTGTCCACTATCAGACCTCCTATTGGCACTTCCAGTCTCTCGGAATCAAGCTGAAGCCCGGGACACCATTTCCGAAAAATGCCAACTGCCTCTTTGATACCCCCTTGCGGGTGACCTCGATGACTCGTTATGACTACAATATTGCGAACTTCTGGTTCAAGATGAAGTCTTGCCACGATTAAAGAGAATACAACTGGACTGACGAGAAAAGGTGTTTGTTTACAAAATGAATAATCTTCATGTTTACTATTCATAAGTAAATCCGTAATTAAAAAAGGGATTTACATTTTTTGTTTTTGGTTTGTATTTTCTATTTTGTTTTATCCAACTAACAAGAATATTTAAGAACTAACAAGAATTTAATTAAAATAATAGAACGAATAAATTATAAATAACCCTGTTCATTTTTGAGAACTACAAGTGGTTTCTGAAACCATGTTTATCCTCAAATACGAATTCCTTTACAACTAGAACACACTGGGAATCTTGGTTTGAATTATGTTGCGACTCGAAATCTACTCTGAGTAGGTTTAATGTTCGGACTCAGGTCAGACTGCTCCGCAACCGTGTCTACACCAAGATTCATGTTGCGATTCAGTTCTAAAGTCGAAAATGTTGGGCGAAGTTACATCCACCTTTCGGCAGTCCTAGATGCCATTGCCACATAAAAGGCTGTACTATTGGGCTAAAGCTGTATCACATTGATCAACATTACCTGAGGCAGATGAACAATGGTCATTTCTTACCTGTTGGGTTGTTAACTTAAAACTTTTTCTATAATTTTTTATTCGTGAAAGTTTTGGGTGTGCTTATTTGTTTTTTTGGTCCAATCTGCATGAATGCTTCACATTCCTAAATAAGTGTATAAATGAATTAAGTGCAGTTGCACTAGTAGTGAAGTGCCTTATTAGCAAATCATAATCAAAAATCCACTTTTTATCTATTAATTTTATATAATATTGATTAATTTTCAGTTATGAAACTGGCAACAGTATTGTTGCTGAGGAGACTGGATTTGTCAAAAACCTTGGTGTGGAAGGAGTCGAAGGGCTCGTCCAGTATGGGTCTTATTCTTACACAGATCCAGACGGAAGGGTCATCACCGTGCGGTACACCGCTGATGAAGGAGGTTTCAGGCCAGAAGGCGACCACTTACCGACACCACCTCCAGTTCCAGCAGAAGTTCAAAAAGGACTGGACATAATTTTCGAATCTATCAGACTACAGGCGGTCAGTGATCAATATTAATCTATTTTAATATGGTCTTCTATTCAAATACATTTTGGATTAATAGAAAAATTAATCCAGCAAGCACAGCTAATTTTTTCACAATTTGTCCACAGGAAAAGGAAGCGAGTGAGAAACACGCCCACAACACTCAGCAAGAATCGGCCAACTATCCAGAATCTCGTGATGACGATGGCTCCTACAGGCCTGAGTACAATAATTAAAGACTGATTCTTCATCATTTGTAAAAACCTAGGCAAATTGATTACAAATTCGCCAGGTTTATATATGTTCCATCAATTTATTTTGCATGCTAATCTGATTTTATAATTTTAAAAAATAAAAAGTTTTTGTTTAACTAAAACCAGCAACTTTTATTTTACGTTCATTCTTATCTTTCCTATTTTTGCTGGCATATTAACTCAATATGCTAATTTTTTTCCCCTCGGGGGCTTCCAACAATAAAGTCATTTCAGCCCCCTCGCACTGCACTGTTATGGCCGATGGGGCACCCACTTGCAACAATCAAATAAATACCCCAGTTTCTCTTAAAAAGCGGAATAGGGGATCAACATATGACTTGCTCACCCGAGTACCATTCTTATGTCAGGGTTCATGCCTACTCGCTCCCTGTAGGGGGCCAAGGCACGGCACTCCTCGACAAGAAGAGACATACTGAGCAACCTTTCTCTACAAGCGGGACACCTGCGCGGGTTTTGACCCAGAAGCAGATGTCCATGTGTCAGACGGGTATGGCCAATCCTCAACCAAGTTAACACGATCCTTTCATTTCGTTTCAGATAGTTTTCTCTTAGGGGCCATCATTTAGTCGTGCCCTTAACTCACAGGAGCTTCTCGGACAACCCAGTCACAGTGTTCTTTACTGCTCACACTTAGGATCAATATGCTAATTAAACATTGTCACATCATAACTTAAACAACTTGAGCATATTTGACTGTGCCAGTTCATCATAATCAACACCTTTTCTCTGGCAGACGGACCAGAGATGTCTAATTAATGCTGCAAATTGAATAAGCTGTACTTTTTTAAATAAAATTTCATTTATTAAATTATTAACTGACAAGCCAAGAACACATTGAAGCTTGCCTGGTAGAACACAGAAGAATAGAGTGATGCAGGACTACATATCAGAAGTAGTAAGTGCTAGATGGCTAATCTCAAATAAAAACTCTGAATCTTGGGATGCTGGATAGGAGTGCCAAGGATAAAGGGGGCCCCCAACCGCAAAACTAAAGGAAATGGTTTATTGTGGTTGAGGTCTGAAATGGCCATAATGTTTATGGCAAAAGGGTATGGTATTTTTTCTGTTAATGTCCCTCAGTTCCATTCCTTGCTCTTAGCATTTTCTGGCTCTTAATAGAAAGAACCTAAGGTTGTTTTCTGATCAATGTTTACTTTTCTCCAAATATAACCTAGGTATGTAAAAGGTTCATGGTTAGTTTTATGAAAAATTATAAGTACTGAAAGCTAATAAAAATTAATTCACTACTTTCGTGGTCCACTTGACCAATTAATACATGACAATTAATTAAGGTTTTTAGTTGAAATGAAAAAAGTTAATGGCACGAGAGGGATTCGAACCCATGACCGATTACACAACATTTGAAAAATGGCAAAAGGAGGGAAAACTCATAAGGTGGGGTTGAAATGGGGAGTTGATGTTCGAGTGGATCGAGGTTACGACAGCTCAAGTGGTAGAGCAGCGGCGTATCTAGCCGAAGGTCGTGGGTTCGAATCCCTCTCGTACCATTAACTTTTTTCATCTCAACTAAAAACCTTAATTAATTGTCAGCTAATAAAAATGTTGTATTGCACTAACAACTATCTTGTTATAAAAAATACCTACAGGGCAGCAACAAAAATAGTCAATTATAAAGATGTAATTACATTTTTAATTTTACAGTATCTTTTATGCGATCAACCAGCCTTTACTCTATATAGTTTTGTAGATTAGGGTTGTGGTCATTTTTAGTTTTAGCGCACATATAATATGGCAAAGAGTAAAAATTTAAAAGATTGTAAGTTGAGAAGAGGAGTTAGTGTCCAAGTGGATCAGTCATGATAGCTCATGTGTTATAGCGCAGCATATTGAGCCAAAGGTCGTGGGTTTGAATCGAATTTTATCTCAGCCAAGATAGATAGATTGTATAATTAATTAAATAATAATAAAAAAAGTTTATTTACCTTATATAAACAAATGAACCAAATTAACGAGAGATTTCAGACTCTCGCCTGTATATAATCTAACATTAATTAACCTTACATTATTTTTATTCAAGTAATATCGAGAAAAAACAACTTGGAGAAACTTATGGAGAAAAGGAAAAACACTTACCTAACAGATTAAATTATAATATGATATGCTTCATTCTCTTATGTTTACATTTTATATAATTGAGCGAGCTATAATTAACAATTTCAATTATGTGCTGATGAGCTGTCCTCACATGACTTTACAAAATTTTTCTGTTACCCAGTAAATGCATGTGGATATGCTTGACATACTAAGGGCGAAGTGCAGATGCACCACCTGTGAAATGCAGGTACCATTCTTATATGAAGTTTGTCATAATTAATTTTACATGTGTTTGACCAAATGGGCAAAGTATGTATAGAGGAGCAAAGATGACTTTTTGTATAACATTTAAGCCAGATTTTTTATTTAGTAACGGGAATAATTTGTAAAGTGCTCCAACAGTTGAGCTTAAGACATCTTAGAGCCCAGCTGCATCATTAAATATTTTATGGATCTTTTCCATTGTGATTGAAAATGCTCAACATTTACATTTCATGACACTTAGGCCTCCTTTCAGTGATTAATATTGTCTGAGTTTTGCCAATGTTGTTTAAATTTTCCATTTGCTGAAATATTTAAAACATTTGTGTATGGCTATTGAAATATGATTGGCGATGATATTGATTCTAAATGAGAACATGGATAAGCTGTGATATTGTAAACGTGCTTGCAACATTAACTTGCTGACATTATTAATAGAGATGTTAAATAATGTGGGGCCAAGAACTGAACCTTGTGACACCCTGGCTGTAGCTTTGCAGGTTATCGAGACTGTTGGAAATGTTGATGAAAAATTGTCTATTATTTAAATAGCTATTGATAAGGGATATTAATTAACTGGGGAAACTGTATGGATTTATCTTTATCAGATTCATGGGTACCATGAATGGATGATACATTACTTGCTTTCAAGGATACACATCTTATAGCAAATGGTTTGACCATTTGTTTAGTTGTTTATTTATAAATAAACAACATGGTAATACATTATATATTATGATACAGATAACATGATAATTTGAAGCCAACTAGTTGTATCGGTCTCCTGTGCTTTTTAATAAGGCTGGGACATTGGCGTTCCCTTTATATTTTATTTTTAACATATCTTTGAATTCTGGTATTTTTACAGACAAATGGAAACTTAGTTACATTAAACCATTTCTAAAACTGGCTATCCATCTGAAGTTACTAATTATTACCCCATTTGTCATCAGTCTGCCATCAGTATCATTACCCCTTTCTATAATTAATTTAAAATACCCGAACAACTTTGTTTTCGACCTAACTCTTGCTGTTTGAAAATTTTATACTAAATGCTTTTTCCCCCAATAAACAAGTTGATGTGATTTACATAGACATCAGTAAGGCATTTGATTGTGTCATTTTTAATTAACTTTTAGTGAAATTAAATGTTCTGGGCTTCCATTAATCCAAATTGTTGTGGTTTCATAGTTATTTGTAAGGTAAACAGCTTCAAGTAAAAATTAAAAATTTTATGTCTAAAATTATTGAAGCAATCTGGAGAAGACCAGAGTTCTCATTTAGGTCCTTTATTATTTTTGATCTTTATTAATGATGTTGTTGAATTTTTTCCTTAGAATATTCTTGCTCTTTTCTGATAATGTCAAGCTGTATCATGTAATTAATAATGACACAAAAATACTTCAAACCACTTTTTCTAATTTTATTGATTGGTGCTCAAAAAATGGACTTAAAAATGGACTCATTTTCTAGATGTAATAAAAAAGTTAACTATTTGGTATCAAATTGCAACTACAAACTGTGACCAGTTATTGGTTAACCAATGAATTTTCCCAGATGTAACCAATATTAGGAGGTTCATATAACTTAGCAGTTGAAATACCATTGTAAAAAAATTAAATAAATAAATAAATACTATTACAAATGGTTTAAATAAAAAAGAAGCCAAAGATAGAATAGTTGCTTAAAATGAATAAATAATGCAAATAATAATTAACGTGGTAAAATATAAATGTATAAAATAAATTTAGCCAATACAACACCCTGACAATATAATTAATAATTAATGTAATAAATTTATAATATTAATTTAAAAAATAATTTAAGTATTACAACATGGTAACATTTTGCAGAATAAACTATGTAGTAAAATATATATTATAAATAAAAATCGTTATAACCGTACAAAAAATTGTACCGAAATAATAAATATAGATGTAATAAATGTCGTACCCTGTTACATTTTTTGAAAAGATATAGGGGTATTTTACTGTATGTAGTAATATTCTAGGTGTTTTGTTTGAATGCGTGTATTTATTAGTGTGAGTGGAAAGGGGTGATGGTGAAATATAGTGTCACCATCACTCCTCAAGCAGTGTGTGTGCTTAGGGTTGATGGCGGAATATTTGTAAAAGTACCTCATCAACCCTAATTTAGGTTAGATTGTTAGGTGTAGAGGTCGATGGATGAATATCTAACTCCACTGACTAATCGAAATGAGTGCATGCATGATTGTATTTTTATATCTAGGAATGTATTTCTTAGTGCGATTGATTTGTCCATTTAAGTAGTATTGGGCTTTAGCTGTCACCCCCATCGGAACCTAACCCCATTGGTAGGGAAGTGATGATCTCCTGGGCACTAGGCTTAAGAGGGATACTAGCAACCCAGCCAGATAATGGGGTGGGAGAACTCCCTAATATACAGACACTAAGGTCAGCACATCAGGGAGTGACAACCCTTCAGGGTAAAAATCCAGAAAAAATGACATAGTTTAAGCTTGATATTGATATAAGCAAACAACTAAATTGAGGCAAACAATGTGGCACAAACAGGAGCTTAAGTTACTTAATGAAGTAATAAAAATGCTTAAAAATTTTAACATCATTCTATATAAAATGAAGGTTTTTACTGTTTTAAATTGCCAAAATATTGCTATGACATATCTGAGCTTCGAATAAATTTTACAATGTATGATATGGATATGAACTATCACGCAATGCCAAATTTTGCCTCACCATGGGGTTGTTCTCTAT